ACAAAGTTAGTTTGAAAAAAGCGGTCGATTTTCGAAGAGTTCAATAAGCGCTACATTCGAAATTTGAGGCTCCACTGTATATATATTATATATGCAGTATACCCTCAGTTATCAGCAATAATCCATTCCAGAAGGTCCGCCTAAAACCGAAATGCCCGAATACTGAAATAATATTTCCCATAAGAATTAATGTAAATACAATTAATCCGTTCCATACACCCAAAAATATTAACCAAAAATACATGTTGTAAAGATTAACTATAGTTTTTACATACACAAAATAATGAGAACTAAATAAAATGACTAATGAAATGGATTAATGAACATTTAAATCACTTTTACCTTTATTGAAGAGTCTTGTTGGCTTATGCAAAATGGCGAGGAGTGGAGAGGGAGGCGAGTTTATTGTTTGGAGTCAGGACAATATGCTTAAATATGACACTATTATCAACTCTCCTGCTTATTTGTCTATCACAATTCATCTAATATGACATAATAAACAATATTAATAACATAGAAACATGATATTTACTATAGAACGAATAAAATATGTCATTACGTAGTGGTGGTGGTGTTGGGTTTATAAGGGCCACTGACAGCACAAGACGTACATATAGTGGTGGTGGTGGCGACAGCAAAGGCCACCACCACTGTTCACACTGAAACAATGTACGTAATTTATAAATAAGAAATATTTACACTTTAATTTATAAATAAGGTATATTTACACATAAATAAGAAATATTTACACTTACCTTGGAGGAGATGCTGGCATTGGTTTAGGGTGGTGGAAGATACACAGGGCGGCGTGTATTGTCAGTGGCCCTGTATACCTCCAGCAACATTGGAGGAGTCAGTTTCATGTCATCCTTTTTCTATCGCTTAATCACAGCTTACTTGCTACACTTTATCACTGGCTTAGTATCATACATATCGTAGAATCACTGAATCACTGAAGAATGCATTCTCCCCTCTCTGTTCCTCCTTCACTTTCATACTTTCCTAGTTCTTTCTTTCTTGAATTCTATCATGTTTCTCACTTTCTTTACCAAAGGGCTGGCACTAGGAATTTTCTTTGGGCCCATGGTGGCTTATTTCGCAGTTGCACTCAATCAATAACTACAAAAAACAATGGATTATAGCGAAATGTTTGGATGAATGCATGGAATCCTCATTCACCCAGAGACAGCCAAACTGGCTCATGAACTCGGTGGGGTGGCGAGTGGATGCATCCAAAACAGCAGATCTCCGAAATAACGGCTGATAACCGGGATAGAATTTCAGCCAAAAAAGTGGGCGGAAACCAAATTGGCCAATATCCGGAACGGCCGATAACAGAGGGTCCATTGTATATTAAATATATTGTTGTAACTGGTGACATCAATAGATTTTGAGGTGTTGCTTTCCATGGGTATGTGTTGTTGGAGTTGGAAATTTGTTAAGTGTGCATGAGTGTGATTGGCTGTCAGAGAGAAATGGTATCAGGTTATCTGCGGTAGATTGAAAATTAAAGATTGAGGGATGTAGCCACAGTATAAAGTCTAGATAGGATGCAAAGAGGGTCAGATAAAACTGAGATACACATGGAGGCAATTAGTTAACCAGTCATTCTGTGGTTAAGGCATCAATAGTGAATAAGTGCCATAGTGAAGTAATACAGATGACCAGGGTGGTCACTAAACCATAGTGAGGTACTGTTCTGTGACCAGGAAGACCTTAAAATATAGTGACTTATAATCAGCTGTGCCTTGTAACCACTAATTGTTAGACATGATTCATCCCTAGTTACATGGGTTACATTACAATTTGAATTACATTCAATTATCAGCACTGTATGACCCTTTTAGGTTTAGCACTTAATTTGGTTATGTTATTACATTCAGTTATATGGAGAAAATTTAGTGGTGCAATATTTGCAGATTCTAATTTTGCTGAAGGTAAGTTTGTCAGTTATGATGATGGAATGGGAAAATGCATGGAATGGAAGAGAGAGAGAGAGGAGGAGGAGGCATTCCTGTTGCTGCTTACCTCTCCCTCACCACAACACTCCCTCACCACTTGCCCAGATACTCTTTTCTGTTACCCACATTGTTGAGGGAGTGGTGAGTGTATATAAGGAGTGTTAAAACATGTTTGGAGCAAGGGAGCAGGACTGGAGGATTGGGTTTAATTTGTTAAAAAGTTAAATGTTCTATACACTTTTCCAGTTTATACTTTTGTATACATTTTGTGCACTGTTATACCATGATCACCCTTGGTGCAAAGTCTTGTGTTTACAATATTAACATTTTGCTTGTCTTCTAGTGCATCCAAGACCATGTTGTAATAGTCTAGCAGTTACAAGAAACAAGATCAAATTGCTCTAAATCCATGTTGCTCTAGGTTGTGCAATTGTTCTGAACCCATGCATTTATTAATTTTGCTTCTTAAAACCCTTTGATGATGTGGGACCAGTGCTATCAATTTTTAATATATTTCAGTTGTTTTACTGCCACCTTTGTGGTTTTTAATTACTATGGGATGACTCCTGTGTCAATATTCAATTTCCATGGGATATTCAAGGCATTTGGTAGTTTTTTTTTTTTTTTTAAGAATATGGAGTTACACCAGTCTGGGGCAGAGTACATGGGCACACCATCAATAACTTCTTTAACCCTTTCAGGGTCCAGAGGCCAAATTTCAAAGTGTGCACCAGTGTCCAAGAATTTTCAAAAAAATAATTTTGTTATTTTTTCTTATGAAATGGTAGAGAATCTTTTTCTGAAGGTAATAAAACAAAAAGTACGAAATTTGATGAAAAATTTACGAAATTATGCTCGCGAATTTTGATGTGTCAGCGTTATTTACGCATCGGCGATTCTGCCGACTTTGACTCCCATTTTAGGTCAATTACATTATTCCAGTCGACCAAATTCTTAGCTATTTCACTAGTATTACTTCTATTCTATTGATTGAGCACAAGAAATTGCCAAGTCAACTGTTTCAACTACAAAATAGAGTGATCAGAAATTGGTACATAATTTGGTCAATTTAATGCAAAGTTCAGAATATTCTAGTTTCAAAATAGGGTCCAGAATAAACAATGCAGGCATTCCTGGCACTAAACTAACATTTCCTCTGTTCATTAGTTATGTTTTCAAGCTTTACAAATGAATTCCATTTTGATTTTTTATTCACATAATGAATTTTTATTCAAACTAAAAAATAAAGATTTACTGTTATGCAATATTGTAATAATTGTATAAATAATATCACCACATTTGTGAACATATATTAGACCCACCAGCTGGCGTGTATTAGATATGTGAGGTCATTTGTTTACTCATGAACACTGGCAAAAATTTAACATTTCCTCTACTTTGAGCTCAGTTTCATGCCATTTCCAGTACTAAAACCAATCAAAATCATCTCTGTTTCTGTAATATATCTTCCATTCTATCAAATGAGACCAAGAAATTCCAAATACAACTATAAAAAACATACGAAAATACACTGCAAGCTGCTGTTTTAATCGAAAATTACGGCCTCAGTTTCTTTTCTCTCGTTATGCACTGTGTGCTGCAGGATTTGTTTTATGTGGTGCACACATACCACATAGCTGTATTCTCTCACATCTAGGCCCAAATTTACCGCTCACAGCTTATCAGAGTGAGCTGAGTTCATGGCGTAGATCTACAGTTTGGACCCTCAACATATAGCCGTAGATCTACGGCATGGACTCTGAAAGGGTTAAAGTCAAATGCAGTTAGGCTAGGTTTATGTAAGAAATTTTGACGATGTCAACAGAGTTTTTAGTCTCATTCATGAAAATTAATTTAGATTGTCAGTCTTTAGTCTGATTAATGGTTCACTCATTTCTTTCTTGTCATCACTGGAGCTCGATCTCTCTTGAGCAAAGGGCACAGTACTAGATGTGGTTTTTGCCTTGGATTTTGCAAATGTTAAAAAAATATTTTGCGTGTCTTTCAATTTCATTTATGGATTTGTGCTTCCTGTTTTTTTTTTTTTTGGACTGGATAATGCATTCAGTTTGATTGTGCATTCAATTTGAGTGTGCATTCAGTTTGAGCATGCATACAGTTCGAGTGTGCATTCAGTTTGAGTGTGCATTCAGTTTGAGTGTGCATTCAGTTTGAGTGTGCATTCAGTTTGAGCGTTCATTCAGTTTGAGCGTGCATGCAATTTGAGCGTGCATGCAGTTTGAGCGTTCATTCAGTTTGAGTGTGCATTCAGTTTGATCTTAGTTTTTTCACTTCCCTAATCAGTGTTTATTTTCATTGTTTAGAAAGTGGAACCTTTAAGAAATTCTTTGATTCTTTGTCTTTGCATGTAGAGGGAGTAGTCCTCTGTTTCTAACTTGCATCTTATCTTTGTTTTTTTAATGGTACATGTCTAGCGTGGTATATATTTATTGGTTTATATACAAGAGCAATAACTAAACTTTGTTTTTCAACTGTCTCTGAAAAACCTTTGACTACATTATTTGTGGTGTGAAGTAACTCAGTGCAAATTAGCACGTCTAGCATACAGACCAACATCCTCCCTCAACCCTTTCATTGTCCTGTACATGGATCTAAGTTATTGATGCCAGGGTCACTTACGTAGATATATATTTTGATCTCGTTTCCCTCAGATAAACTGTAAGCAGTAATTTTGGCTATATTTTATTATCCAAGAAATAGGGTAAATCTTTGATTTTCTTGTGTGATGATGAATTCAGAATGGAGGGCATTTTGTAGAATATAGGAAAGGCAGAAATTACAGTCATGCAGCCTCCATGATTGTAATTTTGGATATTTAAGCATGACAGCCAATAAAAAATTTAAAAATAACTGATGTTTCTGTACAAACACTTGTGATTTTTCCATGGAGGAGAAATTTAATGCTGATTCCATAATTCTGTGCAAGTATAGCATTGATTTTATTTAAAATAAAGGATTTTTACTTACTAGTGATGAGTTTATAGCAGATAAACACTTATTAATTAGCTTTCAATGCAGATGTATTGCAGTGGAATTGACAGCCTGCTGAATCTCTTTGATTCTGTGGAGAAATTTGCAATTCAAGACCCAACTCGCATCGAAACTTTTCCTTGCCTTTGGACCAGTGTAGTGGGTAAGTTGTCGTTTTTTTAGTTTACCGGTACTATACAACAATATCTTTTATTCAAATTGTTCTACAGTTAGGAAAATAAATTAAGAATGCAGAAATAATGTTTTTTGAATAAGTGAATACTGTATAATTTTTTTAGCTTTAAATGATCTTCAAAGTTTTAAATATCAAACATGCACACAAAATAATTTTTTAAAGAAAATTTCAAATTCAGGTTTTTTCTTTATATAAAGAGACAAGTCTTTCCAAACTTTTGAATTGTAAAAAGAGCTCCATAATTATATTTTTTCTGAATGAAATGCTAAATATATTAGAGTATATATTTTAAATTCAAATTTTGTAAAATATCTTTCTAATTTGGATTTCTTTTTTGAGGTAGATGTGTCTTATCTCTTTTATCATATGTAATCACATATGGGTCATGTTTTCAAAGTCAAATATTTGATAAAAAAAGATGCAGTATAAAGTTGACATATATTTTGAGGGGATGGATTCTTTGTGCCTACCACATACTGTACAGTGGACCCCCGCATACCGTTGGCATCACATACCGTTTATTCCGCATACCGCTCACTTTAATCGCAAAAATTTTGCCTCGCATACCGCTCAAAAACCCGCTCACCGCTGTTCGTCCGAGACGCGTCCAATGTGCGCCTTAGCCAGCCTCACATGTTCCGCCGGTGGCATTGTTTACCAGCCAGCCTCCACGGTAGCATCCAAGCATACAATCGTAACATTTCGTATTATTACAGTGTTTTTGGTGATTTTATCTGGAAAATAAGTGACCATGGGCCCCAAGAAAGCTTCTAGTGCCAACCCTACAGCAATAAGGGTGAGAATTACTATAGAGATGAAGAAAAAGATCATTGATAAGTATGAAAGTGGAGTGCGTGTCTCCGAGCTGGCCAGGTTGTATAATAAACCCCAATCAACCATCGCTACTATTGGTGGTACAGCTGCTGCTGCTGCTGCACTGTCAGCTGCTGCTGCTGCTGTAGCATCGTCTGCTGCTGCTGTAGCATCGTCTGCTGCTGCTGTAGCATCGTCTGCTGCTGCTGTAGCATCGTCTGCTGCTGCTGTAGCACTGTCAGCTGCTGCTGCTGCTGTAGCATCGTCTGCTGCTGCTGTAGCATCGTCTGCTGCTGCTGTAGCATCGTCTGCTGCTGCTGTAGCACTGTTGTTGGTGTGGCTTATTGAGAATATACCAAGAAACAATTAACCCCAGAGGATTTTCCACCCAGGATAACCCAAAAAAGTCAGTGTCATCGAAGACTGTCTAACTTATTTCCATTGGGGTCCTTAATCTTGTCTCCCAGGATGCAACCCACACCAGTCGACTAACACCCAGGTGAACAGGGAAAAATGCCTGGAACTAGTGCTCATATTGGTGAATTTAAAGCCAGCAAAGGTTGGTTTGAGAGATTTAAGAATCGTAGTGACATACACAGTGTGATAAGGCCTGTTCTGGAAGAAAATGCCAAACAGGACCTACAGTACTCAGGAGGAAAAGGCACTCCCAGGACACAGTGTCTCATCAGTCATTGCTGCATCTTCAATAAAGGTAAGTGTCATTTATTCTTCATTTAGTAGACTAGTACATGCACAATATATACTGTGCATGTACTACTCTACTATTGTGCATGTATCCTTCTCTTTGTGTGTAGGAAAATGTATATTTCATGTGGTAAAATTTTTTTTTTCATACTTTTGGGTGTCTTGCACAGATTAATTTGATTTCCATTATTTCTTATGGGGAAAATTCATTCTCATACCGATTATTTCGCATACCAATGAGCCCTCTTGCACGGATTAAAATCGGTATGCGGGGGTCCACTGTACTAAAATACCAACTTCTTGCCTTCAACGGAAACAATACACACGTCACCCATATTTTGTATAATTTTTTTTAGTACACTGGCTGTTTCCCAGTGGTGTAGGGTGACCCAAAAAAGAACACCTTGCCAGAGGCATCCCAGTACTACAGTTCAGATGCTCCTCTAAACTGCATCCTTCAGAATGCAGGCACTGTGCGTACCACTTTCAGGATTCAAGTCCTGCTAACCGGTTTCCCTGAATCCTTTCACAGAATATTACATTGCTCACACTCCAACAGCTTGTCAGATCCCCAAAACTATTTACCTCCACCCTATCTAACATGCTCACACATGGATGCCCAAACCCTCACACACAAAAACCTTCTTTACCTCCCTTCCCCACACACCTTTCCTAGGGTGACCCCCTAGCTTGCCTTCCATCCACTATAGATTTATTCATCGTCCAGGTCAGCCTAGTTTCCTCCGTTCTCTCTAAATGTCCTAACCACTTCAACAGCCCTTCCTCAGTTTTCTGAATTATACTTTCAGTAACCCAGCACCCCAAGCTACTAATTCTCTACTTAATATTCACACCACACATTGGCCTCAGACTACATCTCCACTGCCTCCAGCCTCCTCCTTGCTGCTACATTCACAGCCCATGCTTCACACCCATATAAGAGTGTTAGTAACACTATTCTTTCATACATTCCTCTCTCTGCCTCCACAGTTGCCTCAGTGTGCCACCCACCTTTTTCCCTTCATCACCCCTCTGGTTCACCTTGGTTTTCATATACCCCCCACCACCAAGTCTGCTCTCAAATATTTAAACACAATCTGATATCTAACGTTTCATTACCTAACTCTTAAGTTCCCCTCATCACCTTGCTTTCCTGTGTTCACTTTTAATTTCATTCCTTTGCATTCCCTCCCAAATTCGTCACCAACCTTTGCAACTTCTCTTCGTAATCTCCCAAGAGCACAGTGTCAGCAAAAAAGCAACTGGGACAATTCCCAATTTGTATTAGATTCTGCATATTTTAATCCCACACCTCTTTCCAACACCCTAGCATTCACTTCTTTAACAACCCCCATCTATAAATATGTTAAACAACCATGATCAGTATACAGTAAAGTATAATTGGTCTTTCTTTTACAAGTGTTCCTTGCTTTATGCGACAGATGTGTTCACCCCTTAGCCTGGCTGGCTGATGAGCAGATGGAGGATCAAGTCTTGACCACTCTCTGTGCTTTTTATAAAGAAATTAATCAAGTTCCAGGCCCTTACACATAAAACACCTCCAGTCTCGGGGTACTTCCGAGACTTCCAAATACAGTGGACCCCCGGTTATCGTAATTAATCCATTCCAGAGAGTGACTAAACCCGAATCTGACGATTTCCCAATTCTTTTTTCCCATAAGAAATAACGTAAATCCAATTAATCCATTCCATACACCCAAAAGTATTAAAAATAAATAATTTTTTTACAATATACATTTACCTACACAGAAAACAATGAGACATGCCAAATAAAACAATAATAAAATGACACTTACCTTTATTGAAGATTTGCTGATGAGTGATGAGACGGGAGGAGGGGAGAGGATGGAGGTATACTGTTGTTTGGAAGGGTAATCCCCCTCCATAATGACTTCAGGTACCAAGTCCTTTTCTGGGGTTATTTCTCTTCTTTGTTTTTTAATGCCACTAGGACCAGCTTGAATCACTGGACCCCTGTCGCTCAAAAAAGTGTTCCAGAGAGGTCTGTATCTGGCGTTTCTTTAAAATTTCCCTAAAATAGGACACAACATTGTCATTGTACATGTTGCTAACACAGCCTGCAGCAGCTTTGTCAGGGTGAAGTTCATCCATAAATGTTCACATGTCGCTCCACTTTGCACAAATGTTCTTCATCTTTGAAGAAGGCACCTTCCTCCATCTCTCTTCCTCCTCCTCTGACCTGTGGTCTGTTGCTGTTGCAGATGAAGGCCTTGCAGCTCTTCAGTGGTTAGCTCTTCATTGTGGTCCTCAACCAACTCTTCCACATCCTCACCACTCACGTCCAACCCCATGGAAGTCCCCAATGCCACAGTACTTTCCACAGCTGCCATAGGCTTGTCAGGGTCAGCCCCAAGCCCTTCAAAATCCCTCTCTTGGACACATTCTGGCCATAATTTTCTCCAAGCAGAGTTAAAAGTCCTGGAAGTCACTCATTCCCAAGCCTTACCTATAAGGATTAAGCAATGAAAGATATCGAAGTGATCGTTCCAAAACTCTCTTAGGGTCAAGTGAGTGTCTAAGGTCACATCAAAGCACCTTTGAAACATTGCTTTGATGTACAGTTTTTTGAAGTTTGAAATGATCTGCTGGTCCATGAGCTGGATGAGAGGAGTGGTATTAGGGGGCAAGAACTTCACTGTAATGAAACAAAACTCCTTCACCATTTGCTCTTCCAAGTCTGGATTATGAGCAGGTGCATTGGTTATTACCATTAGGCACTTGAGTTCCAATTTATTTTCCAGGAGGTATTTCTTCACACTGGGGCCAAACAAGTCATTGAACCAATCAAGGAAAATGTCCCTCATGACCCATGCCTTACTGTTTGCATTCCACATCACACACAATTTACTCTTAGCAACACTGTTTTTCTTGAACACTCAGGGATTTTCAGAGTGATACACCAGTAAAGGCTTCACTATGAAATCCCCACTAGCATTACTACAGAACATTAGAGTTAGCCTGTGTTTCATAGGCTTGTGTCCTGGGAGTGCCTTTTCCTCCTGCAAGATGTAGGCCCTCTTTGGCATTTTCTTCCAAAAGAGGCCTGTTTTGTCACAGTTGAACACTTGCTGGGGTTTGACTTGTTCAGCCTCTATGTACCCCTTGAATTCCTGAACATATTTTTCAGCTGCATATTTGTCAGAACTTGCAGCCTTGCCGTGCCTTACCACACTGTGTATGCCACTAGGCTTCTTAAATTTCTCAAACCAACCTTTGCTGGCCTTAAATTCACTAACATCAGCGCTAGTTCCAGGCATTTTCTTTACGAGATCTGCATGCAACTGCCTTGCCTTTTCACAAATTATCGACTGCATAACATTATCTCTTGATAATTGTTTCTCGTTGATCCACACCAACAACAAAGTCTCCACATCTTCCAGTATTTGCGATCTCTGTATTTTAAGCAT